GACAGGGCTGTTTCTTACCCAGCAGCAAATCCCCCTTCCTTCTGGGCAGAAACCACCTTTAGCTGAGGGTTCCTCTGCCCCTGGCAGCCCACAAATCTCAGAAAGGGATGCCCCACCCTAGCGCTGGCTCCTGATTTATCTCGGCCTATCTTAGCATCCCAACCCTTCTGCCAGTTCAGACACCCTGGAGCCAGGCAGCACTGGCATCTGCCTTGTGGCTGTTACTCTTGCAGAGGGGACATGGGGACTTATCTGTGCCCAAATAAAGCAAGAAGACACAGTGCCCAGGCGTAGCTGCAAAGGAGGGGGAAATTGCAGACAAGCCTCAGGTCAGTTAAGGCAGAGTCACCTCCCTCCAAGTAATTCACACCATTCTTGGGTGTTAACATGGACTCACTCCCCAGCAGGAAGGACAGGCCAGCTGCTATGGGGAGCTGGTGCCATGTTAACCAAAGGCAGAGATAAGACTCAACTACTTTTGTATCCATTTTTCTAATAAGAAGGATGGTCTTCAAACTGAAAAAGCAAGAAGGTTATATAACAGCAAATGTGGCTCAAGATACTTCTGGCTGCTTTCAAGGTCTTCTATTCTCAGACTGCTGGAAACAATGCAAGAGGGGCTGGAAGCCAGAGGCAGATAAGGAGGGAGGGCTGAGGATTCTGGAGACTGGCCTCAAGGTGTCCTAGCCCCCAGGACACCCCCAGTCTGGGACAGCCTCTCAAAGATGTCTATTTAGGAAAAAACAATCATAACAGCAGCAGCAGCAATCCTGATATAGTGCCTACTCTGTGCAGAGACTCGACTAAGCACTTTAAACAAACATGTTAAGTGGCTGAAGCCCCACAATCATCCAGTGAAATGAGGACAATTGTCACCTCTATTTATGACAAGTAGACAAAGGCCTAGAGAGGACAGAATACAAAAGCAAGACCTCAGAAGCCAACACAGGTTAGGGGTGTTTGGCCATCATTTTAGGAACTCGCCCTAGAACTGCTCTCCCTGGTTCATTGTCATGCAGGGCCAGGGCCGCGGGGTTGGCCATCTCTGCCTTCCTGCAAAGGTCAAGCTTGGTGTACTCATGTTTTCATCAAATTTCCTTGTCTTCTCTTTTCTACCATGATTCTACCATGATTCTTAAATTAGGGAGCTAGCAGAGACCAGCCTAATACACACACATATGTATATGCATATGCATATCATTTCTATTAACTGAAGCCCACACTTTATTCAGGCGTCCTTAGTTTTTCCCCCTGATGTCCTCTTCTTGCTTCAGGATACAATATGACATTAATTGTCATGCCTCCTCAGGTTCCCCTGGCTGTGACAGTTTCTCAAGACTTTGAGTTTTTGATGACCTTGACAGTTCAGAGGTGTACTTGTCATTTGGTTGAGTGGGATTTGTCTGATGTTTTCCTCATGACCAGACTGGGCTGATGGGTTCTGGGAGAAAGGTCATGGAGGCAAAGGGTCATTCTCAGCACACCATTCCAAGCATGCATACTGTGGACATGACTTAGCCCTACTGATCCACATCAGCTGTGGCAGGGTTTGCCAGAGTTTTTTTTACGGGAAAGTTACTCCTTGCCCCTCTTTCCATACTGTGCTTGTTAGAAAGCGGTCACTTCACACAGCTAGTACTTAAGGGCTGATTCCACCTCCTTGATGAAGAATTATTTACACTATTTGAATTTTTCTGTACAGGAGATTTTCCAATTCTTTATTTACTTATTCATTCATTCACTCATTCATTTATTCAATCACTTACTTGTTACAGCATGACGTCATGGCTATTTATTTTACCCTTTGCAGCTAGTATATTTTGATTTTGCAAAGCATTTAATTTTGGTATCACAGGACTCCTGAGGGAAGTTTGTAAAATGTGGGAATTAGCTCTGAAAAGTTCACTGAGTCCCACATCTAACAAATGACAGCTATCCTTCCTGCAGCATGGGGGGTTGGGAAATCAACGCTGCTACCTGAATTTTAAACAAAACAGAAACTGGGAACAAAGAATTTTGGAGGGGCCCCCCACCCAAATGACATTCCTATTCTATGATGCATATGTGGATGTGCTGTGTAGTGAAAAGAGACATAAAATGAATTTTTGTGGGTCTTGGTCAATACACTACGAGTAGGTGATGCACCCCACAGGCACTTCGGGGCCCTGTCCGTGGTCCTGCCCCGTGTTTCTCATCAGCCTTGCAGTCAGGCATAAACCACCCACTTCTCGAATCAGCATCCTGCTCCAGCACAGCATCTGAGAGTGACTTAATTCTATTATCTGACTAAGTGGGATGAAATAAACAAGATGAAATTAAATAGGAATAAGGTCCAACTAGAGTTTATATTCAAGAATTGACACAGATAACAGGAGTGATCTTATTAACAAGCCAGGATTTTTGAAAAAAAATGCCTTCTTTTTTTTTTAAAGGAATTGCATTAGTGAAAAAGAGACTGAAGGGAACAACAACCGGATGCATCACAGTTCTGGAGAGGAAATTGGTTTAAATAAAATCGCAAAAATAGACATTTTGGGATCCAATAGGGAAATCGAAAACAGACATTTTGAGGTCAAGTAGGGAAATCTGAATAAGGTCTGCATATTAAGTGGGATGAAAATTTATTGAAGCAGAAAAGTGCTGATCATTTACTGAGGAAAAATCAGGTTATAAAACAGTATGCATGGCGTGATCTCATTTTATGGTGAAAATCTACATATAAGCACAGAAAGGTATCTGAAAAGATGTGACCAAGGTGTCACAGGGGGGCTCCCTGGGAAATGCGCGCATAATACTTTTCTTTTGCTTGCCCATATTTCTAATATCTTACAGTACATACAAACTGCTTCTGTAATAATAAAAGACTATGCTTTAAAAAGAAAGAAATCACTGACCCTACTCCAGGATATAAGGAAATTCTAGGCGGGTAGAGGTCCCTAAGAAAGATCTCGGCTGTTTGGTGTCCAGAAACCTAACATGCATGGAAAGCGTGGTGTGCCATTCAAAAGGCAGCCCCATCCTGAGCTGCTTGCATGTGTGTGAGGTCTTGGGCTGGGGCAGTTCTGGGGTCTCCTGCTAGTACTAGAAAAACCAGGGCACACAATTAATACAAGGCAGCTCCAGGGCCAGAAGCCAAAGGTTTGGCTCTGGGGGGACGGGGTGTCCTATGGAAATGGTTTGGGACTTCAGGAACAGAGTCCTTCTCCAAAGGCCCAGGGAAGGGAAGATGGGAGGGTGGAAGGAGTGGACAGAGCGCTGTTTTCAAATATTTAAAGGCTGCCACATAGACGAGAGACCCACGTCTGAGTCTCTGTAGAGAACCTCAAAGACTAGTGACAAGCAGGTTTGGCCTTAGAGTGCGGAGGGAGATTGTTCTAAGGACAGGAGCTGTCCAGCTTGGGGATACTGTGGTGAGGCTTGCTGGGGTTACAGGGTTGATGGAGGGGTGGGGATAGGGGATGATGGGATGGGGTGAACTCCCACCAGGGATTGCTGGGAAGACCTTCCCATCACAAGGTACAGTGGTTCTGAGGCTCCAGGTTTCAGTCAGAGGTGGCACTTCTCCCTGCTGCCTGTGTCCTGAGAGAAAGGACCAGGGGGCCTCTCTCCCTTGCTAGGGGGCTGCTCAACCTCCAAGAACACTAGTGTGGGGAGGGATTTGGCTGGTTGGGGGAGGAAGAAGCATCTTGATGGCTGGAGGAAATGCCCTCAGCAAAGTCCTGCAGGGGCTGGGTAAGCCTGTAGAAAGGCTGGGTGGGAACCAACAGGAACTGCAGCAGTGAGCTTTCTGGGATAGGGACCAAGCTCTCAGACTTGACACCTGCCTCATCCTCTTCCACCCACTACTCCCTGGAAACCCCAGGTCCCAGTCATGCCCAGGTGCCATGGAGCGATCATTATCATCTCCCACTTGCCAGGTGATAGGGAGGTATGGATCCGACCTGGCCATGCCCTAGTTTCTCCCAAATACTAGAATTCTAGGCACAAGCTGTCCCAGGAGGAGAATGCCAGTCAGTACCCATTTGAGGCCTGTGGCCATAGCTGTCCTTGGAAACTCACTACTCAGGGTTTCTGTCCCCAAGAGGAAACCTTGGTCATTCAGAACGGGCAGCAGCAGGACGACAGGGACGCTCTCCTGCCAGGTGGGTGCCTGCCCTCCTCCTAGACATGTTCATCAGTCCCCATACCAGGGGACCTAGGGGCATTCATTGCTATTCCTTGGCCCTTCCCACCGGCAGCACCAACCCTCCGATGCCAGCCCTGCTAACAACCAACATTAACTCCTGCCTTCCCCAGACAGACCACAGGATACAGTCCTCAGCGGCCACTCCCTACGGTTGGCTTCGGCTGGCCTGCTGCAGCTAACGCAGCCAGTCCCCAGCCTGTCCTGCCCAGGGTCAGCAGGTGCTGGGCTCAGGAGAACCCAGAACCCAGGATGGCCCTCGGCGGCGGGCGGGGCCGGGTGGGTGCAGTCAGGGAGTCAAGGCTACTGAGCACTCCTGGATGTCCCCGCCGCCCCTCGGCTAGGCCCAGCAGAACAAGCGCCTGACTCCTCACAGAGAACTGGAATTCCAAGCCCACAAATCTCTGATTCTCCACAGGTTCTGAACCTCCTTCCCCCGGCCCCCCCCAACACACACACACACACACACATCCAGGGGGCTGCGGCCCGTCAGCGGGACCCGCACTGCGAGGGGGGGAGGTGGGCAGAGAGGCCCCCCGGGCGGCCTGACGCGTGATGCTCGCAGCAGGCGCTCTCGGTGGAAAGGGGGGTCCCACAGGGCAGGGGACACCCCCTGCTCCGGGGGGCGAAGGGGCGCACGGGTGGGCTTCCTCCAGGGGCCCGGGGTGGCGTGGGGAGCAGCAAGGGAGCAAGGCGGGCAAGGGAGCCGGGGAGGAGACGCGGCGGCCGGCGAGGCCCGGCCCGGGCACGGGTGGGGGAAGGAGCGCCCCGCGATCCGGACGCGGCGCCCCCGCGCGCCCCCCGCCGCGGCCCTTACCTCCTCGCCCTGGCCGAAGCGCAGCCCGAGGGCCGCGACGCGCTCCACGCGCAGGAAGCCGTCGGGGTCGCGGCCGCACACCTCGAACACCTCGCGCAGGCGGCGCACGGAGCGCAGCAGAGCCGCGGGGGCGCCCGCCCAGCCCGCGCCGCCCGCCATCCGGGCCGGCCCCGCAGCTAGCCCGAGCCCCGCGCCGCCCGCCGCCGCCCGCGCCGCGCGCCCTGCGCCGCCGCCGCCATCACCGCGCGCCCTCCGGGGCCGCCCGGCCGCCCGCGTGGGTCTGCGGCGCGCAGCCTCCGCCCGGGGGCGGCGGCCGAGCCGTGTCAGCAGCGCGCCGGGCGGGCGGGCGGCGGCGGCGGCGGCGGGCGGGCGGGGAGGGGCCGGCGCGGCCGGGAGGCTGCAGACAAAAGGAGCCGCGCGCTCCCACGCGGGCCGCCGCCCCCTCGCTGACTCAGTTTCTCCCGCGTGACCGAGCTCGCCCGTTCCGCGCGCGACCGGGAGGGGGGCGCGCGGCTGTGCCCAGAAATCAAAGCCGCCCGAAGGCCCCGCCCCTCCGGGGAGACGAAGGCCGGAATCCTGGGGCCACCCGCGCCCCGGAGGCCAGCAGCCCCTGGGCCTCCCTCTGCCCGCTACTCCCGGGCCAGCCTGTCCCCGCTTATCGTGCCGATTGTGGGCACCTAGCGGTCCCGCGCGCAGTGTGCCCTGGGCGTTCCTGGATTTTGGTGTTCAGCGGTTGCATCCATCTGCAAGGAGGCTGAGACGCAGAGAGGTTGAACTGCTTACCTTCGGTCACACAGCCGGTGAGACAGGGCCAGGGTTCCTGTCTAGTCCAGAGCCAGATGAATCTAGACTTCTGCTCTGAATCCCTGTGCGGCCTCAGAAGGAACAGAGTAGTCTTCAGGTTTAGGACCCCCTAACAGCACTTCTGGGGCCAACTCCTAGCTGGAAAAGGGTGCAGAGAGTAGGAGCAGGGCACAGCACCCCAGCCTGGAACAGGGACCCTGAGACAGGGAGGTTAAGGTAGGACCAGGCACAGGCTGGAGGAAGGCAAAGCAAATGGTTTCAACTAAGCTTGCCTGGGGACACCCAGCTCCTTAGGAGGGTCCCTCTCTTCACTGGGTTTCTGTTCTCACCCCTCCCTGGCAGCACTTGAATACCCAAATTTGGAACCCTGAACAAAATCTTGGCCTCCAGGCCTGGACCTTAGCCTCCTCCCAGCAGTGCTGAGCTGAATCTCCACTAGCTCTTGTGCTAAGGCCAGTCCCACTTGAGTCCCCTGCAGGACCTGGCTCATTGCTCAGCCCTCCAGGCCCTTGCAGCACCAGTTGCCTGCAACCCCAGTACTGGTCTTGGCTGAGTCCACCTCCACTTTTGCCTTCCAGCTCAGGTCAGTTGCCTCTTCCATGAAGCCGTCCCTGATAGCACTCCATCTTGCCTGTTCGTTTTGAGTTATGATCCCTTCCTCCAGGTGCCTATTTATTTATATTTATATAATTCTCTGGTGGGAGGCCAAAATCCCCGCCCCCCCCCAGACCAGGAAACCCTCCAAGACAGGACATGTCTTAATCATCTTCTTGTCTCTGGTCTCCAGTCAAGGGTAGGTCCAGAGGAAGCCCCTACCTGGAAGAGATAGGGTCCTACTTCATCATCCCAAGGGCCAAGAGCGGTGTAGGGACGCAGACAGGAAAGCTGGGACCCAGCTCTGCATAGCATGGCCCTCTCAGGGCCTCAGTTACACCTCTGTGGCCTCTGCTCAAATCCAGGTATATCCTGTGCCTATAACCAAATCATATGGTTTCTCTGATTGTGAACCAGGCTCCTTCTCTCCAGCCCCAGCTCCAGAGGCAAACCTAGCCTTCATCTGTCCTTTTCTTGATACTTTAATTCTCCCAGAAGCACCTTCTAGGAAGAGAGTCGTGAGACCAAGCTGTAGGGAAGTAGGGACGAGAGGCCATGAATGCCACGCTCTGATGAGTGAGGGCTGCTCTGTTAGTTGGATTCTCCTCAGCAAGACACTAATATCTTTGAGTCTCAATTTCCTTATCTGTACAATGAGGATAATTAAAGTAGTACCCTTAGGGGGCAACTGAAGATTATATATGCAAAAGGTCTGGGTATTACTTCCCCTTCCACCTGCCTTATGAAATGCAGGAGGGAGAGAAGCAGGGGGAGCCAAGGGGAGGAGAGACTGGCTGCTGGAGGTCCAGTGAGCCCACTGGCTGAGAGGCAGGGAGTGAAAGCTGGGGCCTGCTACCTGCCCCGGGACTCCTACATTCTTCCTTCAAAGTCAGCTAGTGCCCATTTTTTTCTTGCCCATAGGCTCAGCGCAGAAAGGAAATGGGTAGAAACAGGGGCTAATGCGATGAGATGAAGAAATGGCCCTTGAAGTGCTCCCAGGCATCAAATCCCCCCAAAGGAGGGGAGACAGTGGAGCTGGGACATCTCCCCCACCTCAGCTGACAGAAGTGGGTGCCTCAGATGTGAATGTGAATGACTCCCCTGTGAACCAAGCCTGAAGCCCACCAACATATCGGTGGTTTTCCTCCCAAACAACAGGGTCACAGCAAATTCAAAACTGCAGCTTTACTTCAGTTGGTGCCACTGGGCATGGGCTCTGGGTGGTCCCATTCTTTTTTATTCAGTGTTTATATTGTACCATCATGCTGGGGTGTGGGTGTGGAAAAAGGGAAGCAGCCATAGCCCTTGTCCTTGCTGAACTGGTAGCCAAACAGTCATGACCCAGTGTGATCAACGATGAGTTCCCAGGCTCTGGGAGCCCGCAGGGGCCTGCTCAGAACCCTTGGAGATGGTACAATGTACAAGCTTCCTTAGCGGTAGACATGGATCAGAACCCCAGGGCTCCCAACTCAATCCCATAGCCCAAAGTGCAGCCCAGCAGATGCAGCTAGAAGAGGACACCCATGCTAGAGCCCAGAGCCTGGGAACCTCAGAATGGAGGGGGTTACCCCAGGGAAGCAAGAGACCCATTTGGGGGAAGAGTGAGAAGGCCAAGCATTCCTCACCCCATCCCATCCCCACCTGGAGCACTTCTACACTCCTCACCCTGTTTTGTCCCCTTCCTCTGGCCAGCAACTTTCCTTCCAGATTCCTGACAGTGGCACCTCCTGCAGGAAGCCTTCCCTGACCACACCCTCCCCTCCTCTCCCCTGTGCTCCTAGGACATTCAGAGTACACACTGTGAAGCCACCCTCCTGATTGGGACAGGGCTATTGTGAGGTCGGGTGAGTTAATATATGTAAATATCAGAACAGTGAGGCCAGTAATAAGTGCTAGCTGTTGTGATTGTCCTTATGTCTCTCATTCCTGTTATTTATCCTGAGAGCATCTGGGAGGTAGATGTGAAAGATCACACAATGCCCACAGGTCCCCAGGACTCTTTCTCTCTGGAATCCCAAACAGCTGAGCAGCTCCCAACTAGCACAGTGCCCAATATACACAATTCAGGTCTGTAAAGGAATAAAAAATTTAGTAAGGAAAAGGTATATGGGGCGTGGTAGGCTGGAAAGTGGCCCCCAAAGATACCCACATCCCAGCCCCTGGGACCTGTATTGTTACCTTATTGAAAAAGAAACTTTGCTCTTTTGTGCGATTAAATTAAGGATCCTGGCTCTCCAGATAGGCAGTAAAGTCTGTTATGTGTGTCCTCAAAAGATGGAGGCAAGTTGACACAGGCACAGAGAAAGCGACGTGGCTACAGGGCAGAGGTGGGAATGACCTGGCCATAAATCAAGGAATGCCAGCAGCCTCCCAAAGCTGGGAGAGACAAGCAGTGAATTCTACTCTAATGTCTCTGGAGAGAAACGTGACCATGCCTACTCCTTGATTTTGGACTTTGGCCTCTCAGACCTATAAGAGACTAGGTATCTGTAGTTCTGAGCAGTTTGCTTGCAGCTTGTGGTCATTTGCTGCAGCAGCCACAGAACTGCTGCCTGATATAAATATCAGGCAGAAGTTACTAAAGACTAAGAGTTATTAATAACTAAATGTTATTAAAGACGGGCTTTGTAAACCCAAACAGTTGAGTAGGTCTGCTGCTCTTTTAGCCCTATGGCTCTGGGTAAGTTAACGCCTCTGAACCTCAGCCTTTCTATCTGCAAAGAGGGAATAGAAGTTCCGACCTTGCAAGAGGTCCTGCAAGTTTTTAATGATAAAATAAATGCAACACCCTTGGTGCAGAGCTTGGCACAGCCCCAGCATGTGGTGGCGTTATGTGTGTCATTACAGAGGTTTAGAACCAGACTGAGGGGGAAGCGTTTCTCATTTTCCTCTACAGATCATAACTCCATCATCCATGTTGTCTGGAAATGGGGCAGGAATCACAGTTTCTTCTAGCTTACAACCTGCAGGGTTTTTTTTAACCATGAATAATTATCACGTTGGAGGAGAGGCAGGTGGTGTGAAACTACTTGCTTTCCTCACCTGTCCTAAAATACTCTGGGACAGCAATGGCTGGGCGCCCAAGATCACGAGGCTTTTGGTGGCAGAGATAGTACCACAAATTTGGTGTAGAATCTCATGCATTAGGCTAAAACACCACTACCAAACCCGCCACCCCCACCTAAGAAGCTTAGAAACAAACAAAAATAAATTCAGCACATTCAATTCTGAGTGTACATCTTGGAGGGGGCCTGGGTCAGACAAACCAAGTTCACTAAGATTTAGAGGCCAAGGGACTATCAGGTCTTCCTGCCTGGAACCCCCACCAACAGTCACACTGCCTGGGGTGCACAGGAGGGTCACCCTGGCGTTAAGCTCTCCAGAGACCCGTGGAACAGACTGAGGGGGTTAGCGAGGTCCCAACACAGGGCCTGGCCTTTAGTTAAAGGAGCTAAAGCAGCAAAGCTCCAGCTCCCTGGGGACCAGCCGGGTTCTCCTGTGCCCCCTGCTGTTCAAGGAAGGTTTTTAAAATTTAACATGGCTCCTGAGAAGGAACAGTTCTTTCCTAGACTTACTGACTTGAGAAATAAGTATTAAGCATCTGCTACGTGATAAGCCCTGTCTTTGGCTCTGGGAAGCACTCTTTGAACTAAATGAAAAATTCTGCTCATTTCTCACGGGTTCTGGGGAAGTTCTAGGCCTCTTCCAAAGCAGCCTGAACGTGAATAGTAGTGAAATTATTTTCTGGCACACAATGTCTACACAGGAGTGACTGGGACTTGGGGG